TTTTTTTTCTCATCTGATCAGTTATTCAAATACCACTGAAAATATTTTTAAATAAAAGATTTTCGCAGTTTTGTTCTTATTTCTTGTAGTGTTATATAAATTTAAAGATGTTTTTAATTTTTCGTGTGCTTTCTTTTCGAACAGGACAAAGTATTTGACAGGTAAAAATTGCTATTACAAAATAGCTTCGCTTTTTAGATGTACACATCGTTTTCAGTATTTTTCTAGTCGGCATTTTTGTTAGTGTTTCCTGCAACAGTTTATTATAATGATTAATTTTAAGTAGCTTTCGTGAAATTTCTTTTACGCAGTATATTTCTCGTGAAAATTGTTTACATATTTGTTTTGTTTACATTTTATTATGGTCTTATCATTTCGGCGCTGTTACCGGATTCTATAGCAACAAACAAGAGGAGAAGAAGGAATTGAAGTTTTTGATTTTTTCAAAAGCATTTTAAATGTTCAATCAATATATCGATTGTATGTTAGTGCAGTAAGTGATTTTACAACACTGAAAAAGGTTGGTTTGACATAACTTATACGTAATGTTACACCAACTTATAGTAATAATGGCAAAGTAAAACTTTTGTGCAGAGTAAAACTGTTGAATTATTCTAAAATTTCATTCTGTTATATGAACCGTTAATTATTCTGAACTTTTTCTAATACTACTTTTCTCAAACCGTTGGAGCCACTAATTTTTTTTCACTTTCTTTGAACAGAAAAGATGTAACCAGTGTTTAATGTGAAAGCAAAACAACTGATTAAAATCATACGAAATATTGCATCATTAGAATTTATCAGTAGATGTTGTTCTTTCTCATCTGAACTATCATTCAAATATTTGACACGGAATACCTTACATCATTAATTGGGCAAGAACTAAAATATGTACGACAATTTGAAAAAAAAAATGGAAATTTTTTTTCTGAGAATTATAAGAGTTGACGAACAAAGATGATGAGTAGAGAGAAGAAAAATTCTATGATAATGTACAACAGATATAATTGATATGTAAGGAGAAAGAAAGTGATTAAAGATGATTTAAAAAAAAAAAAAGAAGTAAACAAAAGTGGAAATACGAGGCAAACTAAACTTTAATGAAAATGGATTAAAATCCTGTAAAACTTGAAGTTGTATCGGTGTTCCTTTGCTGTTGTTGTTTTTGCTCTTTTCATTGACTACTCTTCTGTTTATAATATGCCTAAACAAGTGATATTTCTTAGTGAATGGATATCTTTTGTTATTTAAGCTTAATATACTTGATATTTATTAGTTAATATTATTTGTTGTTGGAAGACTTTCATTTAATAGAAACTTTTGTTATGCCGTACATCACTCAATAAATTACTTGACTTGGTTTATACCTGATAAACAAATATTTGATAGGATGGGTTTTCTTCCTATTTTTTTAACTTCTTTTGATTAGACTAAATTTTAAATTTTTTGCTTACCTTTGTTTCACTATTAACTTTTCTTTTTCTGTTTAAAAAATTATTGATTCTGATTGGTTGTAGTTTTTCAGTTCAAAATGATTAATAAGTAAACATTGCCTAGAATTGAAGTGCTCTTGTGGATGAATTTTTGTTTCATGCTTTTATTGATAATACATCACTTTGTCTTACAAACAATAGTACCTGTCTTAGCATACATTAAAAGTTAACTTAAAGTCTTTCTGACTTGGAGGGAAAACTGGGCAACAGAGGGGGGATTGGAAAACTACTGAAAAGAACTGTCTGGTAATTTTGGTGTGATGTTGCATCCAAGTGGTAAAAAAAGTGTTTTTGAAGATTTAATTGAATCAAAAAAATTTTTTTGTTGTTTTGCTTTATCAAGCTTACTACTGCAAAGGAAGGAGAAAAAACTCATTAATAATTTATAAATCAAATGTGCAATTCTGCATATTTGATGAGCTATTAGACCAAAATAAAATTATTTTCTTTGT